TACACTTAGAGACAGACAACCAAGCACACTCACATTCACACCTACAGACAATTTAGAATCACCAATTAACCTCAGCATGTTTTTGGACTGGGTGGGAGGAAGCCGGAGAACCCGGAGAGAACCCACGCTGCACGGGGAGAACATGCAAACTCCACACAGAAAGATCCCGGGTGTCCTTACCAGGACATGAACCGGCAACTTTCTTGCTGCGAGGCAACAGTGCTAATCAACTGCGCCACCTTGCAGCCCCGAAGTGATGTATAAAACACAATAATACAATATCAGACTGAAACCAAGTAAATAACTCACAGCCCAGTTTGTCTCTGATTTCTTTAACAGTCATACAAAAAGTTCAGGACTCACCCTGAGGACCGTTCTGATGTGACAAAACATTAAACTGCAGCTGATAAAACTAAAAACTTTAAAGAATAAAAGGCCCAATGTAAGATAAAATTAAAATTAAAATAGTGAAATACATAAGATAAAAAATAAATAAACGGTAAGAATGTAAAAAGACTTAAGGTTAAAGGTTAATTAAAAGCTCGATTAAAAAGGTGTGTCTTTAACCTTCTTTTAAAGATATTGACAGTCTCTGCAGTCCTGAGGCTCTCCAGCAGGCTGTTCCACAGGTGGGGGCCGTAGTGGCTTAATGCCGCCTCACTGTGGGTTCTGGTTCTCGCTACTGGAATGGATAAAAGGCCACTGCCGGAGGACCTCAGGACCCGAGAGGGTCGATATGGTAAAAGCAGATCAGATAAATAAGTGGGCGCAAGGCCGCTAAGACATTTAAAAACTAGTAAAAGAACCTTAAAATTGATCCTATAGCGGACAGGGAGCCAATGCAGCAACTTTACAACGGGTGTAATGTGGGCCTGCCGTCTGGTCCTCGTCAGCATGCGAGCGGCTGAATTTTACAGTAATTGGAGATTTAAAACGCACTTTTGAGAAGACATGTCATTAACCTTTAAGCTGTTTGGGGTCTTTTTTTTTTATCGCAGTAAGGTGTTATTATTATGGACATTTTATTTTGTTCCCTAAGAGATTTGAAATAGGAGAGCAAAGTGCGGGAAAAAGGTGTGTTGTGATATTGTCACACAAAGTGAGTATTAACCGTCTCTGTTTCGGACAAAAGTTGAATTGTGGAAAAATCTTTACAAATCACTTCATACAAGTCAATATACTGCTGCTTGTGCATGTCATTCCATTCCTGTGATGGCTCAGTTCAGACTTGTGCCATGTTGAATGTGATAGGGACATGTTACTATGTCTGACCTAATAAGATTACTGACACTAACTTTACAGATATGTGACCAGGGTGCACATTCAGACATGCAGCCGACCTGTTTCCTGGCCGTCTGAATAACGGAACAGAGTATTTGTGTGAAAGGGGTTATATGGTGGGGACCTGCCTCTTTTTAGGGGACAAACGCCCCTTAAATGGAGATCATTCAATTTTAGAATGAAGACTACGATTAAGGGTATTTTCAGATTAATGCTGAGGGGAGGACTAGTGTTCAGCAAGTTGTGGTTATGGTGAGTCTCCATGGGAACATAACTTAATATACATCTCTATGTCTGACGCTTACCATAGAATTGCCGGGTAAAATCAGAGTTACAGCTCTCAAGCATGTCCTCCTGTCAGTCCGACCGCACTTCTCCAGGTCCACCAAGACAGTATATGAAGCGTCAGCACCCTGCCGCAACACACATTTTGTCAAAACATGTCACCAATCACAAACACTCATCTGATTTGGGACAATTATCTCATTTAACTTATGTCCTCATGTCATACAGCCATTCTCTGTGTAGATGGTTTATTGATCCACGCTTCTGGTTTGAAATGGTGTGATGTGGTGAGATGTAATGTGTACGTAGTGGCATACGAACAGTGTGTACTAGCTGTGTGTACTACCTTAGCCAGAATATAGCTACAATGCCCATGGAAGGTGTAGCTTTTTCCATCAAAAGTGTTGATATGTGACCCTCCTTCCACAGCACAGGTTCCTGGACAATCCTCCTCCCTACACTTCCACTGACCACTTTCACACACACTGTCAGGACACAAACACACACAGATGTAAACGTCATAATAAATATTTTATATAATGAACTTGATAATTTATGGGTCATTCCATCTCAAATCATTAAATGAAAAATATATTTTTAAAAATCTGCTCGACCATCAGTGATTTGCCTGACATATTTATAGCATTAAGCAGTCATATTTATGAATATTTTTAAAATTTAAGCTTGATATAATACATATATGTCTAATTTTTACATTTATTTATTTATTTAGATTTTTTTAAGGCCAGTTGAAGCACTTTCAGTCCTTTTTTTATTTTTATTTTTGCAGAGGCTGTGTTTGATGCCAATATTTCAGGAAAAATTAAGGATAAAAACCTGACTTTTTTTTTTAAATTGTGATATCTCATCATCCCATTGAAATGTCTAAAGCTCCATCTTTGAGCACACTTTAACATAAAAATTAATCATGCAGAGGTCAACTTTAGATTTTTTCTGCGCTATATGTACCTGCATTTGACGAGTTTCAGGCAAGTGGGTAATGGTTGAATAGAAGGCCTCTCATGATTTGAAATGGAATAGCCCTCATGTGGTGAAAACTGTGTTAATACAGTAATCTTGCCATAATTATGATATAAAGGTTTGAACTAAACCAAATATATCAAAGGGAATTATTTTGCATTGGCTTATTGCTTTCAGAACATGTATGTTTGCTGGAGTGAAGAGACTTAAATACACAGATTAGGCTGACGAGAAACATGAGCTACAGAAGTCCTTCATATACCTGCCACCTGCAGCTGCTTCAGTAAACTATCAAAGCAAGCCACATTTACACATAAATTGTAGAAAGGGTGATGCAATAAAAGTGTTCCTTAATTAGTTTCTCTAATACTTAAGGATGTAAGGCACATGCACATTTTACAGTCCAAATTTAGGTGATTATGATTGTAGTATTTAGTTTTATGTGGAAAGTTTTCATATTACCAAAGTTCACAGCGGTGGGAGTAGAACTCTCCTGAATTGTAAATTTTGTTGTTGTGCACACATGGACACTCAGTGTATGGAACACAACCTCTGTTACCAATGTCATCAAAGACCAGTCCTGAGGAAGAGAAGAAACAAAACAACACCAATAAAACAATATTCATTATGTTTAACTCTGTGCTTGAGAAAGGAATGGTATTGTGTGTACTTTCATCTGGCATATAAAGTGCAAACTGTGTGTGTGTATACCAGCAGGGCAACTGCAGCCATCATGACAGTGAGTGTTGCATGTCCGACTGGCCTGAGGAGTGGAGCAACTGTCAGGACATGCGCTGGTACACTCCAAGAACTCCATGTTGTAAGGACATTCCTTGTCTGTGGAGACAAAAGTTAGAATTTTGCTGTACCACTGACAACAAAAAATTCAGAAAAACATAAGGCAAACAACACAGCAAAGACCAGAACATTCAAATTTACAGTATAGGACTTCTCTTACAGCAGAAAATTTCAGTTCTCCATTGCTCAGGGTTGCCACCTGCATGGACACACTGTCTGGAAAACTCTGAGATAGTTTTGCAGAGAACAGACTCAGTATTCTCCCTGAAGTTGCATATATCCACCATGCAGGCTTTACTAAAGGCTCCCACATCAAGAAGGTCCAGGCAGCTTCCGAATGGAGCACTGAAGAAGATCTTGTCACAGAGTTGCTGAAAAACAAGTTTCAGTATAAGAGATACAACTTAAGAAAATATAACCTTGTGTACAATACTGTCAGTGCCACAAATTGGACATTTAACTGCTAATATCCTAATCTAATCCTAATCTAATCCTAATCTATCTATCTATCTATCTATCTATCTATCTATCTATCTATCTATCTATCTATCTATCTATCTATCTATCTATCTATCTATCTATCTATCTATCTNTCTATCTATCTATCTATCTATCTATCTATCTATCTATCTATCTATCTATCTATCTATCTATCTATCTATCTATCTATCTATCTATCTATCTATCTGTCTATCCATCTATCTATCTATCTATCTATCTATCTATCTATCTATCTATCTATCTATCTGGACTATGACAAAGAGTAAGAGTAGGAGAGTTAGAGGTACCGCGTTGTCACAGTTGAGGAGCAGGTTATCGTCAGACTCCTCACAGCTCTCTGTGGGTCCGTCTACCTTGTAGTACTCAGCATAGTCTGTCACAGACAACACCGCTCCTGCAGTGCAGTCAATCACACAAAAATGGTCATTGTGATTATTCAGCCCAGTACCTTGTGCTTACATAAAAAATTGGAGCAAAAATGCTTTTTGGGTTGTGTTTTTGGGTCAGTTTGTAGCAAAATACAGGAATGTTAAACTAATTAAAATCATGTGCAGACAATCTTATTTTGCTAAGTACAAATCTGCTAATCAGTAGCCTCAGGAATTTAAAAATCTCAGATTTTTTTTTTTTCTCAGTTTGGGAAAGTATTGTAAAAGAGTTTGAAGATAATACAGGTTGACCCCAGAGTTCCAAATGAAATAGCATGAAATGCAAAACTCTCCCCAGTAATGTAACAGTTACACATTTGTGAAAAATTAAAATTGATTGCAAATTCCTGAGAAAAAGTTAGTAGGTATCTAGTTATACAGTTACTTGCGAGGGCAATTTTTAACATGCACATTAGTAAGAAACTGTCACTCTGTTTACATGTGTGCTTCCAGTTCGTCCCACTTGTGTAAATTTAATTTGCACTGAACAGCAGAAATTCATGGACATGACAGTATTTAACTCTCCAAATCAGTACAGTTCAGTCTTGATCTTGAACCCGTTTCTTTTTTCTGAACAACTGGCCTGAATTTAAAAAGGTTAAGATAGAAAAAACAAACACAGCTTCTTATAATGGGAATGTGAGGTCCAAAAAATGGATGCAGCCAGTGTAAAATGTTAAAGTTAAATGGAGATTATCCGTGTGTGACAAGTGAATTCTGGTTAAATATGCCTGAATCTGATCTGGAAGATCAAAATGCTGGTTAGTGAGCTTCCAATCAAAAATGCTTATAAGACCTCAATGTAAAGTCAAGTGTCTCTTTAAAGAAGAAAGTTGTTAAAACAGAAAAACAAATGAATTTCACACTGATAGCAGGCTGAACTACGACGACAGTGTCTTTCATTCCTTAAATCAACACTTAAAATGGGTAATGCATTAAATATCAATCAATCAAGTAAACAAATTAGGTCAGTTTTACTGGTTCTGGTTCTACTCATCAGTTAAAAAAACAAAGCAAATGTCTCCACTGATTCATGAAACATGGCTATAATCTGCACTATATTATCCCTCCATAACACCAAAAAGGATCTTACCATCTCTAATGAACTCATTGGATACACCATCAAAGTTTCCACACAGTCCACATGTCTGGCTGCGATACTTGTCATTGATTTCAATCTGTGAACATACACCAGATATATAATAGTTACACTCAGAATCACAAGACAACACATAATTAAAGTTCTATTCTGGTCACTAATTAAACCCCTAAAAATTCATCTTGGTTTTTTAAGATCACACGTTTCGACATTTTGTCATTAAAAAAAAAAGAAGAATTTTAGGATGTAAACTAGCTCATGACCTCAAAGGGAAACTGGTTTAAGTCACGTGGGGACCTCAGGAGGCAAGATGCTGTGTAAACTCTTGGCTTTAGCAATTTTAGTGATTGTCATAGGAGAGCTCTTGTTTTCCAACTGATGCATGACCTTTTATTAAGTGTGAAATACAGAAAACAATATTTGTAATATCAAGTATCAGTGTTTCTAGTCATGAATGGCTAATGTCATCAGTCCCATTATGAGTATTATATCAAGAGGTATTAAGCTATGAAAAAATGGTCCCCACCCAACCTCAGCAAATATGATTCTGTTAAGTATGGAATTATAACAATATCTAATCATTAAATCCTTTAATCACACCAATCTTTATAAAGCAATCTGCTCAGCCACGTGTTTACTGAAAGGACTGACTTATTCATATGGTGTGCTAATCTCTCCAGAACGTTTCCCACAAATTCACACAGTGAGTCATTGCAGTTGTGCAGTGAACTTTGATTAATGTTTGTAAGGCTTCTCCCCATAACCTCAGCTATACATGTTATTTTGAAAGTTCTGTTTGTCTGCCTCAAAGCAGACCTCTGCCAGATTTAAAGTTTGGCCAGCCACTAAGAAGAACCCATTTTTAGTGTCATTTACAAATTAAATTGTGCTTTCAGTCAAAACTATGATATATTAAAATATTTTTCTGAACCCTGAAAAGGTGGCTTATTTGATTTAAACTACCATAAATCATGACAACAAAATCTACATGCATCACATGAACACGATACATTTAAATACCCATCTCTGTCATCCATCAGACAGTCCTGGTAACTACAGAAAGTTGTAACTCATTGATAGAAGCAAATGTTTTGTTTAATTTTTCATCGTGAAAAGGATTGTCTGAGTGTATTATCACCTCCCTCAAGGGAAATGTTCAAAAGTATGGATTAGTAACTGCAGTTGCTAATTTGATAATCTGAGATTACTGGGTAACACCAGCTATTTTCATTGCACTTAATAACAGGTCACCAAAGTGCTAAACTATGGCTTTTATATTTGGTTTTAATAGCTTTTGGACAACAATGGAGTTGTGTGGCAAAGAAAGATAAGCTGTATCGCCTGCAGCGGCACAGGCAATACTTTTGAGTGAGATAAATTAATGTTGCCTTTAGGCCTTTTCATGATATTTGTTGATAATAATAAAATGATAAGATAACACCAGTTGTTTCCCTCAAACAAAACTGCTTGAGACGCAAGTGTTTCTTTAGAAAGATATGCATATATAACAGACTTATGGATTATAGATTCAGGCTAAGTTGTTAAATTGTTTACAGGAGGCTCAAAGATGGGGAAAGACATGTGTGCATATGTCAGAGTATGCTTCATACATCGATGGCGTCATCCATGTTCCAGATCACCGAGATTCCCAGCTGAGCGTCAACAGAGATACTAGATGTGGTCGCTTTGACAGATATCCCATATGACACGTGTGGCAGAGACACCCTGCAGCAAACATAGACAGTTGTAAGACAATGAAAGACAATGACACAGTAAGTCATATTCTAAAGAGAGGACATGTAGTAGACTGATCACTGATCAGCTTTACATGACTGATTGTGAAAATTGTAAAATTGTAGACAATCACAGAAAGGCATAGAGCTTGGTTTGAGGGGAATTTAGCTTCACCTGAAAAGTGAGAAGACAGCAGCTGTGGGAAAGGGCTACGAACAATTTAGAATGACCAATTAACCTCAACATGTTTTTGGACTGTGGGAGGAAGCCAGAGAACCTGAGGAGAACCCACGCTGCACAGGGAGAACATGTAAACTCCACGCAGAAAGATCCCGGGTGTCCTCACTGGGACGCAAACCGGCGACCTTCTTGCTGCGAGGCAAAGGTACTAACCACCGAGCCACTTTGCAACCCTAATAGAGACATGCTATAGCTATCGTGAATATTTTCACATCATGTTGCAATAGCATTCATTATTAGTTTTTGGCTAAACCTGTCAATTACACCCCAGTTGGGTGACAAAGCAAAAATTGACCTATTATAAAATGTATGTACATTTTTCCAGAGATTCATTGTTCCATTCAAATTGTTAAGCTGATAATCTCATTTGTAATGAAAGAAACTGAGTGACGGGAAGCACTTTGGCTTTTGGTCTCAAACTTTTGAACTTCAGTGTGTGTCTGTACAAGTTGTTCATATTGGAGCTAATCTAACGGAAACATGCTTTACTAAGTTTAAAGAATCTATGATATTCTCAGCAAACAGTTATCACATCTTGAGCTCGTAGCAAAGATAGCTTTCTCCATGATCACTGAGTAAATTCATCTGTTCATACTTTGAGAAGAGGCTGAAAGCCCCAGAAAAATGCTAATAATATGTTTGTTTGTTTTTTTTTTTTTGGTCAACTTAAGGTGCACAGCGGGTTCTGGAGCAGAACAAGACACATAGTACTGCAGCACTGAATGAAAATCAATGTAAAATTGATAAGAACAAAATTCATATCAGTGTCTCAGACTATAGCACAGAACATCAATCAATTTAATATCTGTATGTAGTTAACTAATCTGGACTAAACTTACATTTTGCCATTGACCATCACTGAGTTGGGGCTGATCTCCACCACAGACCCGTCCAGCTTCATGACGATGCTGGTGATGGTGGGGATGCCGTCGACTACAGTGCGCCTCATCTGGACATTAAAAGATTCATAGATGTTCTTGCAATCTGAGATCAGGACATGGTTACACGTGGAAACCATCTGGAAGAAATCTCCATCAAGGGTCTTAAAATGAGAGTGTCCCCAAGTTGTACACACTCGGCCAATGTGAGATGCAGCAACTAGAAAATATACAAAAAAAACATTAAAACGTAATTCTGAATTGACACGAAAAGTTGAGAAAAATAAATATTAGGCATTGGTACAGTTATCTGAATTGTAGTTCGTTGTGTTTAGAGAAGGAACAATGTTTACTGCAGTAAAGAGAAAAAAAAAAAGTTGTATTCATCTGAATGTTCATCACAGTATGCACAGCACGAGATATTTATGAAACTTCAGTAAGGCTATATTGCTTACACTGGATGATATAACTACCTACCATACGGTCAGATGGAACAATTGTAGAGATCCTAAACTCATACATATGCATTATCTTCGGAAACAGCTTCAGTTAGAATAGCTAATCACCAACAGGAAGTGTACTAAGCATCCAAACATGATATAAATCATCTAAAAATAAAATTAATTAAACATGTTTTGTTTTTTGTTTTTCAACCAAATTAACCTCTGTTAAAAGAAAATACCCAGTCCTCTCCATGACCCTTTACAGTCTTAGTGCGTTTGCTAAGTGTAAAGCCGTGAGGAGTTTTCAGGTCATCATTTACCAGTCTGAGAGAGTGAGCCGGTCAGTAGCATTAGTTGGATGAGCCATAGTGTCGACTGGAGTCCTGCAGCCCCCATGTTGGTCTTGAGGATTGACCCACTATGAGAGGACTCACCTGGAGGACAAGTCCCTTTATAACCTGCCAGGTAAGGCGGAGCTACATGACACACAAGATTATTGTTTGTATACTCAACATCAATGTCACTGTCTTCACAACAGCTTCTTCATTGTGCAGGATACACAGCAAAGAGAGTCAGTGTGGCTAAACATGAATGTGTGCAAACATAAATAATTAAGGTTTTATTTTTATATTTAAAGCTTAAACTTTAATATAGTATCCTAAACGGAACAGTACAGGCTTTTGCTTTGTCCCTGACTATAGCTGTGTTTCAAGGACCAGTGTGTAAGTTCTAGTGGTTCTATCGGCAGAAACTAAATTACATTTTTCAATTCAATTTTATATTATTTATATAAATAACCTATATCATTTTAAAGCCATTCCCATAGTAAAGGGAAGACCTTACAAAATTATACAGAGAAACACAAAATATTAAAAGTTTCTTTTGCGGGGCGCCGCTATAGCTCACCTAGTTGAGCTGGCATCCCATGTACAGGGCTACAGTCCCAATGTGGAGGTCATCAGTTTGAATCCCGCTTATGGCCCTTTCCCACACATCCTCCCCCCATTTTTCTCCCCCACTTTCCTGTCTCTCTCTCACTTCACTATCGAATAAAGGCCGAAAAATTAACTTTAAAAAAAGTTTCTTTTGGATTCTCTTTGCGCAAACACTTGGCAACAGTGGCAAGAAAAAACTTTAGCACAAGCAGGCTCATGGAGAGCAGCCATCTGCCTTGATCGGTTGGGGTGAGGGTAAAGGGAGGATGGGACATAATAGCTGAAAGAAAACAGATGTACGATGCACAAGAGAACAACAGACACTTTGGAGGTCAGTGAGGCCAATGACTGCAGATCAGAAACATGAAAAAAGTGAAAAACAAGATACGAGAGGACAAAACACATGCTATAGGAGAAAGAAGACACAAAGTTAGTGGTATATAAATGTATAGAGAGAGAAATAGGAGAGAATAGGAAAGGTATCCAATGGATCATGGGAAATCCCCCAGCAGTCTAAACCTATATCAGCAAGACTAAAGATAGTTTAGATCCACCTGAGCAGCTCTAAATACAGACTTCATCAAAAAGGAAAGTTATGATTTATCTGAAAAGTAGAGAGGGTATCTGACTCCTGAACCCAAAGAGGAATCTGGTTTCACAAGAAAGAAGCCTCATTACTGAAGTCCCTGTCTCTATTTCTGCATTGCAAACTCTAGGAACTCGAGGAGTAGATTGGCCCTTAACACCTTTGTATATGTTTGGAAAGAATCTAAATTTGATTTTGGATTTTACGAGGAGCCGCTTACTGGTTCCTGTCAGAGCTCTGGCTGAAGCATTTTGTAGAGTTTTTTCAGAAAGTTGTTGGGACATCCTGATAATAGGGAACTACATGTTCCTGATTTTGACAATATTACGCAGGTGAAAGAAGGCCATCCTATAGACCTGTGAAAATAACTTAAAGGTTTTTCACTGTATAGCTGGAGGCCAAGCCAATGCCATCCAGAGTAACTATCTGTTAAGTAGTGTGTTCCTGAGGTGTTTAGTGCTAAATACAATAACTTCAGTGTCTGACTTAAAAAGAAGAACATTTTGGGTCAGTCAGGACAGATATGAATTAATATATTCAAAATTCTGTTTTTATTAGTGTATAGTCACCTAAAAATACAAGTGGTTGCATGTTTTTCACTACCTTACAATGAGCCCTTTCATATCTACAGAGGGAATGGGTTCTTTTCCAAAGAGTTTATCAGGTTGTAATATATTGTTCATACAGTTTACCAGAACAGACAAACCAAACATGGGCTCCAGAAAGGGCCTTTTACATTTGTTGTGTTTTTAGCGGCCACCGTTTGCTTGCAAGGGAAGTGAGGTCAGGGGCAGTCAGTTAGTTGCAGTCTGAAAGTTCACTAGATGCCACTAAATCCAGTGTGTAGGATTTAGTGCCTAGATAGTGGAACATAAGTTGTCATAAATATTGTCATGAGTAGATATTGTCTGACTATAGTCTGAGAATCATAGAAACACTGGCACTGAGCATACTGGCTTTTTGCAGAACTGATCACGCTTCCGCAGAGTATCGGTTTTTAAACTTCGACCTCTTCTGAAAACCAATGCATGCTTCAGTGTGGATATGAAAAAAGTACATAATTACTGCCATTTGACATTCAAGTGAGACCTCCTGAAGTGTAGTAAGCTGCTAAAACTTCATGCATGTTACTAAACTGGTGGTCACCATACTACAGCTACACTGCTAAGTATCAAACTTATCAAACTTGCTCTGAAATGTATGACATTTCAAATTCTCTCACACGTGGCAGGTTTTACTTGTTCTGAAGCATTGGCATCTTATATGTGACTGGAAAAATGACCAGCTCCAAAGCAAGTCACAGAACAGCTACAAAGACTGTTTTTGAGTGCCTTAGAAGTGGTACTTGATGGTATGCTTTAGAGTGCAACACCACTTTGCACTCGACATGCGTGTTTAAGAGTGAAAAGCACAGAGTCAGCTTGTGCAGCTAATGTTTGAGGGAGATCTCTCAGAAAAATGACAAAACAAATCCAAATAAGAGGAGCTTCAGCAGTCTTCTAGAGTTGACTCTGTAATTTTTATTTTCATGCAACACAGAAATAATAGTACAATAGAAATGCTAGATGAGGTGAAAATGTATGCTCCCTGTTAAAATGCTATGCCTTTCCTTGTATCTTGGAGCAAGATTACTTCCTTCCTTTTCTTTCTGGCATTGTTCTGCTATTCCTAAAATCCAGCCTGCTGATTTACTGTAAAATATTCCAAACACTAAATTAACATGCTTAAAAATGCTCCAGAATCAAGTTTCTTAATGTTGTCTTTCAATCGATGGGAAACTATACAGATTATACTTTATGGGTAATATAAAACACAATAGAGCAATCTTTTTACGTAAAACATTTTTTCATGTAAAACTCACTACACTGACATTTACCCAAAGACCTTAAATGCAATCATGTCTACCAAAAAAAATTATTCCTATACAACTAAATGGCATTTACATTAGATACATGAATAGAGAAACTCACTGGCAGCACTGTGGTGCATTTGCTGGCATGTGTTGACCCTGTGATAGACTGGAGACCTGTCCAGGGTGAACCCTGGCTTCACCCTAAGTCAGCTGGGATAGACTCCAGCCCCCCATGACCCTACAGAGGATACAACAGTTTATAGAAAATGGATAGATGGATGGATGGATGGATGGGAAACTAAACAGGTGAGAAAGAAATTTACAAATAGTGGTTCCACATAGGTAAAAGTCTTGTTAAAGACTTATGCCTCCATCCTTTCATGGACTTTGTGGCTCCTTTGTAGATAAGCATGCAGTTTAGTTTTATAGGACCATAATTCCTGGGAGAGGGTTGCTAAAATAATGATTTGATTGATAGTGTTCATGTTACAAATTTTACTACTCTATGTGCAAGCCTGTTTCTGTGTATTTCTTTTGATATCTAGCAAAACACATCCAGTCTTGCAATACAATAAGCACTCAAAGTGACTGCAGCTTTATTGAACATTTTATGATTATGTTTAGGCTCTTGCAGCATTTACACAGTGAAGGCGAAGGAAAGATTGTGGTCTGTTTTATACAGAAGAGGTCTGCAGTGACTTAAGACATGTCAGTGCTTTTCTTATCTAATTCACAAACAAGACTCAGGGTGTAAACCTGCCTGAGAGGCCAAAGTGGTACATAAATGTTGCACTTTGCAAGTCACTCCAAAACGTATTGCTAGCTTTTATGTAATACTGGTTTTCATCAGCATATGTACTTGTGAAACCATTTTAGTACTGCAAAATCTCAGAGCTGATGGTAGAGCCAGATGAACACTTATGCTAAATGCAAGTTAGTTCTGCTAAAGAGTGCAATACAAGCTCCTGATGCCAAGAATATTTAATCTATTGATATATTGATGAATGAATGACTTAAAAAGCTCATTTTCAATGTGGTGTTGTCACACATCACATTTATCTCCAGGCGCTATTCCAGAGGCTCACATTTCCTCTTGTACAACTATATTAAAAAACCAAACAACTTATATGAATTGTACTCATTTGATCACATAGGAAGATGTTTGTTAGTTCAAGCTTCATTCAAATTGCTCCACGAGTAAAATGTGCTTTACCCTCTCATTATATTTTAGGCAAAAACAAATTAAACAAATTAACTATTCTTTTTTTACTTATTGCTTTTGCAAATTTAATTTGTACTGGGGCTGGACTGCTATGTAATGCTTCCAAGAAACAGCTAGAATTTTAAAGTCTGACACTGACAAAAGCTCTCGCATTCTCATCTTATGTTACCAAACTAACCCCATCTCATAAGGAAGCATTGCAAACTTAAACTGCGCTACAAACTCCCTCAGGCACTGTTAGACAAAGTTCACACTTAAGTGTTTACTTTTCTACTGACTGTTTTGCAAATTTAATGTGTATGCCGTGGCTTCCCTCAGTATTTCCCATGAATGCCTAACTGCAGCCTGTAAGGTAAAAAAAAAAAAAAAGCCAAACAGATTGCTGTTGGCTGTGGGTATTACCAAATGTGTTCCTATTTATTGAATTGATTGCAAATTGCTCTGAGTTTATTAGCCGGCTGCAGTTTGGCCCATGGCTAGATACATTTTATTCCCTGTTCATGTTATTCATTCCACATTTATGATGATTTATTATTTAAATGGTATAATGAATGATATCACATGGATCCTGTTATTGTCCCATTACAGTCTTGTGGCCTGCAAAATGACACATTACACAACACAGGAATTTGAAAGGCTCAGTATAATTCCAAATATGAGGAAACGTAACAAGCTCCCCTCATGTTAGACACAAATTGACAGTGGGCTTGAAAGTGATGTACAAATAGTTCAGGTTTGAAAACTTTTAAGGTATGCTGGTTTGAGTTGCCATCTGTACCCTTGTGTGTGTCTGTTTTGTTA